AGCGCCTCCCTAGCGAAGCGGGAGTAAGTAGCGAGCTGTCCCAGCGCTGGTGCCGAGGCGGGAATTGGTGGAGGAAAGGGGTCCTGTCGCCCTGGCTGCCAGCCCGCCACCCTCCCGGACCAGGTGGCGTGGCATCTGCCGCCGGATTTGATGCACGACTGCTGTCCCGACTCCAGCAATTTTTCTGCCGGAACGCCCGGGCCCGTCCTTGCGTTTGGGGGGTTTCCTTGGAAGAGTTGATCTTTGGGGTCGGCTGGAAAGCCTGGGAAGGGACTGTGCCAAGGGATGGTTGGGGTTGGTCTAGCGATCAGGTTTCCTTCCCTCCAGATTCAAGCCACCCTCAAAGCTAAATTCCTCTCAGCTCTTTGCGCCAAAATTAACTGACCTTGCAGACCCTATGCTTTCTGACACATTTGCCCCAAACCCGCTTGAACTGGTCATTTTATTTTGCCCTGTTAGTTTTCCTAAAGAATTCCCAGTTTTGTCGGAGTTTCTTTCCCAAGCTTTCAGTAATAACTACAGCACACTTTTCGTGTTTGTGTGCGCCTGTGAGTTTAAGAGGTGGGGGGTGGGGTGTCTCTACAACTGGAAATTCCTAGAGGGAGTTTAGGGAGGGGAAGTTCATGTTCATTAACAAATATTAAATAGACTGTTTCATCGAAGGAGAAAATAACTAATTGTAAAGTCTCTTTTTACTTCAAGATGGATGTAAACTGTTTAACACTGAAAGACCTGATCAGCCCCAGGCAGCCCAGGCTAGATTTTGCCATCGAAGATGGGGGAAACGCACAAAAGGTAAGTGTGCACTTAAATACCTTAAGCTCTACCCTACTTAGATTGGGTTTGTCTAATCCAATTAAATTTTCCAACTGGCTCCTTGTATTGATGTTACAAACATTGTTAATGGTAGAAATCTACTTTTTAAAAAGAGGGATCAAACCCTTATTGTTGCAATTCCCTTCATTCATTGTGCTTTGGACAGAGGCCAGGTTAGAAGTGACTTTGGAAACCAACTAATAACGGATCCAAGATGGGCCCACATCTGATAAGTCTTTCTTAGGGATGAACTTTAACTACTTACTGCTGACGAACATTTCAGGAAGGCTACGCCTCAGTTGTTGCCAGGTAGATGGGTGCCTGTTGCTATAAATACTGGATGTTTGAAGTGCTGTAAAATGTCTCCATGCCAATAGATGGGTTCCTACAGGCAGTTCCCGTCACCCACAGACATGACCCGTGCCTACCTAATATCTTTATGACTTTTTATCAAGTGCCTTTAACAAGAACACTTCTACAGCTAGCTTTAATCGGTGCTGTGCTAGTTACACTTTCACAGTTTTTACATGAGCAAAGAAAACCCACAAAAGACAGGAAGATGTTGGGAGAAGTGGTTCCTTTTTAAAAAACTGAGCAGGGATTCTTTCCGCTTTCCCAGAGAAAACAAGGGGTGATAGCAGCGTGATTCTGCACACATACTAGGAGGACGTTCCGTCTCCTCCCGCTGCAGTGAACAGGGGAGAATCCCTAGGGCCAGTGCTTTCCTTCTTGCTATTAGCCGTGTGCCCTCAAACAACTGTATTCCGTCTCCCCACAAACATTTATGTTTTAGGCAATAAGGAAGCAGAAATTTCATGAGATGCCTACCCTCTCTAAACCTGTGTGTTTTTTGTTTCTTTTTCTGAAACAGCCCCCAGTGGGTTTTTGTAAAGCACCCAGCAACAAAGATGAATGTACTATAGGCTCTACCCTCAGTTACCTGACAGACTGTAAGGGGAGCCCAAATGTCAAATTAACCAGCTTCACTATGATTTTGTAAGTAAAAGGAACTCTAGCATTGCCGGGGGTTACATGTGGGACTGTTAACCACAAGGTTGGCAGTTCAAACTCACCACCTGTTCCTTGAGAGAAAGATGAGACCATCTGCCCCTATACAGATTTCCAGCCTTGGACGTCCGACCCAGGTGCTTTACTTCTGTAAGATCACAGCCTTGCAAACCCTGTGGAGCAATTCTCCTTTGCTCACATGGAATCACCATGTGATTCAAAATCAACGGCAACTAACAACTGCAACTTGAATTATTGCACCAGCTTGTGGGGTGTTAAAGAAGGCTCTTAGGCTGTTTATACTGTCTACTTAGGATGACAGAATTGGAAAATAGGTGGTTAGGGATAAAGAGGTGACCCCCAGAGATTGAGCTTGTTGGGGGCCTTTATGAAAGAGGTGGTAATTAAGCCCTGGCTTGGGATAATGGTGCTAAGACTTAGACAAGTAGAGTGGGAAAGTAGGATCTGCATGCATATTTGGAGGTGGCCATGTTTTTTGATGGTCAGTGATCTCCTTTGGGGTGGTTGAAACAGGATGGAGTCCAGTTGGCACCCATGTAATTTATAGGTAAATTTTTATAGGAGGTAGCTGGTGGCTTGACTTTGGAATTCCAAAAGATTCCAGCGGATAAAAACTTGAGAACTATCCATATAAAGACTTGAAAGCCAGGTGTGTGAGAGTGGGTGAATCATCCAGGACAGAGCGGATGGAGGGCTGAGTGTGGACTCTGGTTTGTAAGAGTGGAAACAGAAGAACCAATGAGGGGACCTGAGAAGGAAGGAATGGTTAGAGAAACAGGAAGAACCAGAAAAGAAAGAGTAGGATCTTGGAAGCTACTGGCTGAGACCTTTAAGGAACAAAGAAAGTCAGCATTGTAACCCCTCTCGTGGGACCAAGTAAGACATCCAGATATTGCAACCGAGAAGTGGCCTCAGTGAGAGTATTGAGTCAGCACCAGACTTTCTAGAAAATGCACTTGGAAAGCAAGTTTTCAGTTAACAGATAGGAAACATGTGCTGAGATGGGGTCTTTTTGATAAGCCTTTCATAGGATAGGATATCAGTAGTCAAATCTAGGCCAATGGCATTCACTAGGAAGATGATATGAGCCAAGTTTAGGACAGGTTTGAAGAATCGCAAGTGTAGTAGTTGAGCAAATGTGGGACTTGTATGAGTTGGAACTGGAAAAGAGATTGGCAAAAAAGCAAGGGCCTTAAAGGTGACTGAATACATTATTTGCAATAACAAGCCCCAAGCTGTCTGACTTAGGAACAGGCCTCGAACTCATGTCTTAACTATCAAACTCTTTCTTGGGTGAAATGCTGCCATTTTTTTTTATCATTACAGCAATGATTTTAGTAATAATGAACATCTTTAT